TGAAACTGATGATGTGCCCTGTAAACTTTCACTCAATCCACAATAAAAACCTTAAAAAGAAAAAAGAAAAAAAAAACTGATAGCAGCATGAATAATTGTTGATCACTAAAGGAGTGATTAATAAATAATACTGTATCCATGCTATGGAGCTCAGTGGCTCCATATGATAAACACTGGACTTTGAACCAGAAAGTCTGCATTTCAAGCCCACCAGCCACTCCTTGGAGGAAGGTGAGGCTTTCTACTCCCACAAACATATAAAACTTTGAAAACCCTATACAGGGTCACTAAGAGTTGGAACTGACTCGAAGGCACTTAACAACAACAATATCCATACTATGAAATATGATGTAAGTATTGACTAGGACGGCTGCCCAGGAGGATATTGTTAAATCGGGCTGTGGGTGCCAAAGTATACGTAATTGTAACGTGGTCTGTACTTTGCAAAAAGAAAGGAAGTCTGTAAATATTAAGTGTTTGCTTAAGCAATGAGAAATATGTAAAAACATTGTGTTGAGAGAGTAGAAAAGATTGGTGAGGTAGGGTAAATTTTAGGTTTTTCTTTATATTTTTCTGCAATGTTTGACTTATTATGGAGAGTATTTGTTACTTTCTTTATAATAATCACATTTAATGAAGGAAAAATTGCTAACTAAATTAAAGGTATTTGGGTTCTGAAGAAACTGAATTTAGCCAGAGACATGAAAATAGAAAGACATTTTACTCCACCTTTTATTGTAGTATAAACACTGGTCAGCATTTCCATTCACAACCATTATCATAAATTTCCTCTGAAAATAAAGCCATTTTGTACTAAGAGATGGTAGCATCAATGATTTTTTTTTTTTCCCCTTTAAATAGCAACTCCGCTCCAATATCCGAGAAATGGAAACACTTTGCTTAAAAGTCAGAAAGGATGACCTACTCGTTCTGAAGAGAATGATAGATCCAGTTAAAGAAGCAGCAGCAGCAGCAACAACCGAATTTCTACAAGTGCATTTAGAATCTGTAGAAGACCTTAAGAAACAGTTTAACGATGAAGAAACTGTATTACCACCTTCATTGACCAGATCCATGACTGTTGGTGGTACGTATTGTACCAAGTCTTATTCTTCTTATTTTATTACCTTTTTAGAAATATACACAGCAGAACATATGCCCAGGAGCATATACATCAATTCAGTCATTTCTATTCAGTGATGTTGATTACATTAAGTTATGCAACTCTTCTCACCCTCCTGTTCTGAATTGTTCCTCCCCCACTGACATAATTGCACTGTCCCCTAAATTCCCTGTTTAGTCCTTCAATCTGGTGTTATCAGTCTAATCCCATCTAGATAGATCTTCAAAGAGCACAGTGCTCCAGGAAGACAGTCTTTACTAAATTTTAAGAAGACCTCAGGGGATGTTTTGGGTTTAAAGCTTGAAGATTATCTCAGAGAATCACTTTAGAGATTCATCCGGCCTGCATGGCTCCAGAAAGTCTGGATTCCATGGTAATTTGGAATTCTGTCCTTCATTTTCTCCCTTTTGATCAGGATTCTAGAATCCTGATCAAAACAATCAGTTATGGTAGCTGGGTACCATCCAGGTCTTTTGGTTTCATGGCAAAGGAGGCAGTTATTCATGGAGACAGTCACACATTGCATTCCTGCCTCCTATTCTGTCTCTCCTTCATCCTCTTGTTCCTCACTCTCCTTTTTCCTTTATTGATCCAAGTGAATGGAGACCAGTTGTACCTAGCGTTGCTACTTGCAAGCTTTTAAAATGACAAGCACTACACAGCAAACTAGGAGTCAGAACAGAAGCACTATTATTATTTTGTGTGTGTGTGTGTGTGTGAATTAAGTGATAGTTTACATGGGAAAACGTTAGCTTTACATTCATCCTATCATATTTCATTTCATTGCAATAATTACAATCCCCTCTATGCATCATCAAACAACCAAAGGATACACCCCACAAGCCTGCCCCCAGCTGTCAGCACACAGCCCCTCTCCCTCCCTGAGTCCACAGTCCCCAGCCACTCCATCTCTCCACATCATCATCTCTGCCTCCATCTCTGGTGTCACTGCAGAAGCACTATTCTTGATCCTTGATCACAGTAATATAATTAATTATAGTTCCTTTCCCTATGTAGCCATCACAGATGATTTATAGAACTTGAGGAATCATCTGCTGTTCCAATTTCAATGGACTGAATCCATGGACTCTGAGTATGTCTAGAAATTCCTAAGAAACTTTTGCAGAAGAAAATGTTTATGGCTATACTGTCTGAAGCGGAACTTTAGGAACTCAAATACTTATTTGTCTATGTATGTAAAGAAATGTAAAAATATTTCTTAAGGACAATTTCATCCTTGCCTGCAGACTATTTATCACTCATCTGCAGGTAGAGGGGTGACCTATTCTAACTCTATTATTGTTGTTGTTAAGTG